GTGTTTGTGTTATGTATGTAATATTTGCTAAGTTAAACCAGCGCTGTTTTCTCTTCCTGTAAAAGTCTTCATGCTTTAATAAGATATAACATTCTCTTCACCTTTTTAGCCCATAATCCTATCATCTCAATCTACTCTTTTAAAGCTCATGTACAGTCAGTGCAACCCAAAGGATGTGCGAAATCATGGGTCAGGAATGAATATACAGTAAGAAACGGGTGCTTTGAACAAAGACCTTGGTAACACTTTATAATTTTTATTGATGAGTCATTAACATTGTATAATGATAAACGGGTCATTACGTGATCTATCTCGATTTCATGTTTTATTATTTGAGAAACCATCAACTAATGAAATAAGCATTGAATTGGTAATGTTTGATATGATATTAATAACGGTCATGCTACTTTTTACTGTGGTTAAAAGCACTTGTATCATCTCATACGGAAGCAAAAATCGCCTCAATATTTAATTCATTAATTCCTATGAATTCAGCTGAAGGGAATGTTTTATTTAGCTGTAAATCGAAATGGGCAACATTGTTTAATTTAAAATCTTAAAATGTAATTGAGCCTTATCATCTCTTAAAAAGGATGTAGTAGTATTCCATAAAGATTGTAATGATTTGACGCATCATTGGTCTATACTTCCTATTGGCAACGGACCCTGCTCGGGTTATTTTTAGAATGTATGGCTGATCCAGCTCCAATGCAGATTCCAGTCCGTTTTTTCACTATGATTTTCGACTGGCTGTCAATGAAATTGCGAGTCCTACTATGGCAAAGTTTTAGATGAATATTCATTAGGTCATACTGACGTTGCGTCCTGACCTTCCAATGGTCAAGTCTTGATTTTTCAGTATTCATTGGGTCATGCTGATGACTAGTTCTTATCTTCCAATGGTGCTGGCTTTGGTACCTGAATCACAGCTTTTACATCAAATTGAAAAATACATTAAAATAAAAGAGCACTGAATTTCAATTTATGCAATTGTTCTCTCTCTCTCTCTCTCTCTCTCTCTCTTCATTGGGTCTGATGACTAGTTCTTATCTTCCAATGGTGCTGGCTTTGGTACCTGAATCACAGCTTTTACATCAAATTGAAAAATACATTAAAATAAAAGAGCACTGAATTTCAATTTATGCAATTGTTCTCTCTCTCTCTCTCTCTCTCTCTCTCTCTCTCTCTCTCTCTCTC